TCACTCTGCCAAGAGGCCCAAGTTCACTACACTCCCGCTCAGGACCAGGAGGGGGCTGTTAGGAAGACTCCCAGCTTGGGGATGGTCTCTGGCAGCACTGTGGGGGTGGGGTGTGTGTGTGGACTTTAGGGGGAGTGGAGCTAGATGGTTTCCACCACAAGATGGCCAGGATGGGAATCTGGCCCTCCAAGGTCTTTTTCAGGGGCCTGAGGAATGGGAGGAGTGTTTGACAGGAGGGGAGGAAACCTGGGGGGTAACTGAGGGAGAAAGTCAGGGCTGCATGAATCCTGGACCCACAGCAAAGAGATCAGGGAAGAATTCTGGAGGTGACTTGGTCTCCTTATGGTACTTGGGAAGCCAAGTACCTGACAGTAGGAAAGAAAAGTTGGAGATCTGTGGAGTTGAGGTGAGTTCTCCAGGACTCAGAAGAGGGTCTGACTGGGCCCCTTTTCCAGGACTGGGTGTTCCTGACAAGATTTTGTTTCCTCTCGGATTATGGCCGACTGGACTTTCGTTTCCGCTACCCTGAGGTGAGTCTCCCCAACACCCACCATGCTAATTCTGGATACTCCCTTGGCCTCTAAAGGCACAGCAGCTGGCACTCCTCCAAAGCCCCCAAATCTCTGGATCTGCAGGCCAAGTGCTGTCAGAACATCCTCCTCTATTTTGATGACCCATCCCAGTGGCCAGCCGTGTATAAGGCAAGGGACAAGGTGAGGGCTGTGAAGAGAGTATGGAGGGAGGGAGAAGGTTGGGGCTAGCCAGGGAGTGACTGTCTCTGCCTTTCCCAGGACTGCCTGGCCAAGGAGTCAGTGATCAGACCAGAGAACAACCAGGTCATCAACCTCACAACCCAGTATGCCTGGTCAGGCTGTCAGGTGCGGGCCCAGCCTTGGGGTGTGTGGTCAGGTGCTGAAGGTTAAGGACTTGGGAGCGTGGAGGACAGGCTGCTGCCTTCTTCTTGCTTGTCCACAGGTGGTGTCAGAGGAAGGAATCCGCTACCTGAGCTGCTCCAGTGGCCGCAGCTTCCGTTCAGTGCGTGAAAGGTGGTGGTACATTGCTCTCAGCAAATGTGGGGTAAGCCAAGTGGGCCTTCTCTTCTTTGTCTTCCTACCACCCCACCCCCCCACCTTTCCAGGGCCTCCCTTTAGGCCTCCATACTCCCCACAGGGAGATGGACTGCAGCTGGAGTATGAGATGGTCCTCACCAATGGCAAGTCCTTCTGGACACGACACTTCTCGGCTGATGAGTTTGGTGAGCATGTGAGGGCCCAGAAGCCAGGGTGGGATACCAGAGCTGGGTACCTACTGAGGTACATGCACGGAATGAACATTCCTTCTCCCCCAAATCCACAGGGATCCTGGAGACGGATGTGACCTTCCTCCTTATCTTCATCCTTATCTTCTTTCTCTCCTGTTACTTTGGATGTGAGTCCAGCAGATGAATTAAGGGGAAGGAGATATAGGGGGAGCAGGGTTGGTGGAGATGAGCTGCTCTCTGCTTCTGTGTGGAGACAGCCTTTCCCTATCCTGATTCCTAGATTTGCTGAAAGGTCGTCAGTTGCTCCACACAACTTATAAAATGTTCATGGCTGCAGCAGGAGTGGAGGGTGAGGTTTAGTGCCACAACTTTTGCGTTCTATGGGAGAAGGGCCTTGGGGCCCAGACACCTGGGCCTGAAAGAGGAATGCCTGGGAGTCTAGACCCCTGGGTCCTGGGGGAGGAGGGAGAGGGGGCCCAGACACTTGGGTATGAGGGAGCAGGGGCTGGTGGCTGGACTGCAGAGTCCCCTAGCAGGTCAGTGGGAGTAGATGGTCTGAGTACTGATGGAGGAGGAGGGGTTCAGACCATCTGTATCATAGTGCTAGAGGACAAGGATGTCCCAAAGCTGGTTTCTGTCCTTTCCTCTCTCCCCAGTCCTGAGCCTCCTGTTTTTCTGTATCTACTGGGGCCAGTATGCCACTGATGGTATTGGCAACGAGAGTGTGAAGATCTTGGGTGAGAATGAAGTGGGGCCTGAGAGGGCAAGCCTTTGGCTCAGGTTAGAGGGGAAGGAGTCCTGTCTGAGCCTGGCTCTGAGCTGCCTTCTCCTTCCTTCTCCTGCCTTCTCTCCCAGCCAAGCTGCTCTTTTCCTCCAGCTTCCTCATCTTCCTGCTGATGCTCATCCTTCTGGGGAAGGGATTCACGGTGACACGGTGCCCGGGCAGGGAGCGCTCCTGGGGTGGCTGGGCTGGGGAACGGGGTGGGGGGTGGGGCAGGGTACGTGTTCTCCTCCTCCTCCCTGACGTCCCCCACCCCTGCTGTTTCCCCTCATGGCCTGCTGCCAGAGGCCGCATCAGCCACTCAGGCTCAGTGAAGTTGTCTGTCTACATGACCCTGTACACGCTTACCCACGTGGTGCTGCTCATTTATGAGGCAGAAGTGAGTCCTGCCCCCTGTCCAGGCCCCACCCACTCCCACCCTCCCCTTCCCCTCAAAGCTTTTGGTGGCTGCCTCCTCCTTGACCTGTCTGCTTGCCCTTCCCTGCAGAGCTTTTGCTTGCTAGCTCTCTCCCACTTTTCAATTTTCTGTCTTCCCATCTGTCTAAGCAATTCCTCCCCCTTCACCATATCGGAGTGGCTTTCTTCCTCCTCCTTCCTACATCTCTCACTGTCACATTTATGCTCAATGTCGTGGCTAAGAGTTCAGGAGTCATGCTGACCTGAATTCCACATAGCTCTCTCAGTTCTGAGCTGGCTGACCTTGGGTGATAGCCCTGCTCTCTGGGCCTGTTTCCTCTTTGGGAAATTAGGAGGATCTTACCTACCCCAGGGGGCTCCTCTAAGGCTTTATCACTTGATTAGCTTTGGCATAAGGGTTTCTCTCGTAGTCTCAGTTTCCTCTTCTGTGAAATGGGGCAGTAATAAGATCTATCTTGGGGCAGCACCCGTAGCTCAGTCAGTAGGGCACTGGCCACATATACCCAGGCTGGCTGGTTTGAACCCAGCCCAGGCCAGCTAAAGCAACAATGACAACTGCAACAACAAAAAAGTAGCTGGGTGTTGTGGCGGGTGCTTGTAGTGCCAGCTACTTGGGAGGCTGAGGCAAGAGAATCACTTAAGCCCAAGAGTTTGTGAGATGTGACACCACTGCACTCTACCCAAGGTGACAGTTTGAGATTCTGTCTCAAATAAATAAATAAATAAGATCTATCTTGTTGAGCTAATGCTAATAGCTCCTCACACATAGGAGGTGTTTAGCCCCAGGTTGGGTACAGGTAATGATGTATTCTCTTCGTATCTCTTCACCTTCTTTCTGTACCTCTATCCATATGCTCTGTCTCCATCCCTGGCTCTCCTGACTCTTCTGTTCTGACTACTTCTATTCCCCGGGTGCCCAGGGGTGGAGTCCAGGGACCCTGATGGAGGGCAGAAAGCCAGGCTATGATGAACCCTCTTCTGCGGGTCTAGTTCTTTGACCCGGGCCAGGTACTGTACACATATGAGTCACCAGCCGGCTATGGGCTCATCGGGCTGCAGGTGGCAGCCTACGTGTGGTTTTGCTACGCGGTGCTCGTCTCCCTGCGCCACTTTCCTGAGAAGCAGCCCTTTTATGTGCCCTTCTTTGCTGCCTACACGCTCTGGTGAGATGTGGTGGGCCCCCAAACTTTCCTTGCCTCCCGGGTCTCCCCAGAAGTGGCTGCCCCCTATCTCAGTGAGGAAGATGGGCTTTCAACTCAGAAAACGCAGCTGTCACCCAGAATCTGGTACTTACTACGTCCCCTTACTTTCCCAAAGTAAAAGAAAAGTCAAAGTAAAAAAATTACTTTCTGGCTCGGCGCCTGTGGCTCAAATGGCTAAGGCGCCAGCCACATACACCTAAGGTGGCGGGTTCGAATCCCCAGCCCGGG